CATCGGCAGGCGGACTCTCAACCACTGCGCCACCACGGAAGCCCTAAATGATTACATTTAACTGAAAACATATGTGAGTGTATTTTTAATATTTCCTTTCTACTTTTTCTGTTTCTAAACATTTGCTATGTTAACATTTTTTTCTCCTTTGAATTTAGAAGGCATATAGCCTGTTTGGGTTCCAGTATTTACCTTTATAACTTTAAATAACTTTAAAGTTATAAAGTAGACTTAAGCCTATTTTTCACAATATATCAATTTCAGTAACACAATCATCCCTCTTTATTTTCTCATATGAAAGATGAGAAAATTAGCGCTTTTGGACCAGCTATTCTCTTCTTCCCCAATTTTATTTGCTTGTTCTGGAGTTATTGTCCTACTTTATACCATTGTCAATTAAAAATAATTAGCTTCCTCTTTTCCAGGAATTAGAATTCCTGTAATTAGAATGTCTGTCTTATTTAGATGTAATTTATGTTGAATAGATTCAAGACTCAAAACTGATATTTCATCCTATGACTTCCCCACTTCTGAGTTATTTATTTTTATTTAACTCTCAGATTACATTTTCAAGTAAATTTTTTTGCAATTTTATTGAGGTATAATTGAAGTACACCAAACTGCATATATATAAAGTATACAAGATCAGTCTATGTACACACACACACTGTGTGTGATCAAGATGACAACCCTTTCCATCTGAAAAAAAGCAATGCTCAATACGGAGGACTGACAACCCAAATATCCAATATACAGTTAATTTTGTAGACCTAAAAAATATAGTAGAACAAAATGAGTAGATAAAAAACTAAAAGGTATAATAAAACCCAGAATTTCCTGAAATGAAGGAAAACATACATTTGAACATCAATAGTGTCCTTCATTATTTAGGACAAAAATAATAAAGAACTGTAAACTCTGAGTGAAATTACTGAAAGGGCAAGGTTAAAGGAAATACGGCGAAAATAAAGTTATATACTAAAAGAAAATTAGTCTAACTTCAGATTTCTCCTTAGCAATTTTAAATGAAAGAAGAAACTGGAGCACTGTCTAATGAGTGTTTTGTTTGAGGGGTTGTGTATGACCCAATTTTCCATACCCAGTCAAGTTATCATTGTTATGACAAGGCAACAGAAATATGTTATCAAATGGTCAAGAATCCATGAATTATATCATTCATATGGTCTTCTCTAAAATATACTTGACCGAAGCTAACATCATATAAAATGGTGAAAGCTGATTTCTCTGAGATTGGGAATAAAGCAAGGATTCTCACTTTCAACAATTCTATTCAACATTGTTCTGGAGGTTACACACGTTGCAATAAAGCAAGAAAAGGACATGAAGGCATGATGATAAGAAGTGACAAAGTATAATTATCCCTGTTTGTATTTTCATATAACATTGTATATGTATAACAATATACAATGTATATGTATACCATATAACAATACATATACAGTGTATATGTATAACATACAACACTGTATAAGTTTAAGGTATACATGTTGATTTGATTTGATACATTTATATATTGCAATATGATTACCACCATAGCTCTAGCTAACACCTCGACATATCACATAATTGTATTTTTTTGTGTGTGTGGTGAGAACATTAAGATCTGCCTAGAGTTTTCTATAAAGGGAACCGTATAGTAGTTACTTGGGGATGAGGGTGTAGAGAGGGATAGATTGCACAGAGGCATGACTAAATTTTTGGAGATGCTTATTATCTTGATTGTTCAAAAATAATATTGGTGGAATTTCTCTTTCCTGTGTTCCTGAGCACTATTTGAACCTTCCCTTTAGCATTTATTTTGGAATGTGAGATGCTAATAATTTCTATTCTCTGTTTAGATCTTCAGCTGCTTGAGGATTTGGAAGGAGGACCAAGGTTATGTACAGCTGCATTCTGGAAACTCTGGCCCTGTGGTTTCTCTCTGAACTTGTTGACTCTACTGGAAGCTGGGTTGATGTCTTCTCTTGCTCTGTGCATGTGGGGTTACCCTTGGATTTCAGTTTGCTCTTCTGCATTGGTCTGAGAAGTTGAGTTGGAGTGATGCCTTGTAGGCTGGTTTGTAAGATTTTTCTTCTGTCTATTAGCACTTATTTTATCCAACAGTTGCCACTTGTCTGCAGCTTCCAGATCTTCCTAGTGAGGAAAGGAGGGCATCTTTGAGGAGCTGACATTTGAGAAGGAGCATGAATGAAGGAAAGGAATAAGCCATTTGAAGATTTAGGGAGAGAGCATTCCAGGTAGAAGGAGCAGCAGATAAAGAAGTCCAGAGCTGTGAAAAAAGCTTGATGCTGCTTTAGTTGAGAGCCTTTTCTTTAAGCCTTGATGCTGATCTGCGATGGTAGAACATTCTAAGCAGTCACTCCCTGTTCTTCTCCCCCACAATCCCTGGGAACCTCCAATCTGAGTGGGCTGGTCCAGCAGGGGACACACACAGCACATGTGGTCTATCTATACAATGGAATATTATTTGGCCATAAAAAGGAATGAAGTTCTGATACATGCCCAATGTGGATGAATCTTGAAGCCATCATGCACTTTCATTTAAATGCAATCATACAATATGTGACCTTTTGTGTCTGGCTTCTTTTACTTAGCATGTTTTCTTTGAGGTTCAACCACATTGAAGCATGTATTCCTACCTTATTCCTTTTTGTGTCTGAGTAATACTCCACTGTACAAACATACCATATTTTGTTTATCTATTCATCTGTTAATGGACATTTGGATTGTTTCCACATTTTGGCCACTGTGAGTAATGCTGCTATGAACATTCATGTACAAAGATTTGTTTATCTGTTTTCTTTTCTTTTTTTTTTTTTATCTATTTTCAGTTACTTTGGGTGTATACCTAGGAGTGAAATTGCTGGGTCATTATTACATTTTAATTAGAAGGATTCTCTTCTCTTCAAAATGTGTTGGTTACAATTTTCTGTGGCTTCCTGTAAGATTCCCATCCATCATTTCACACTTTCTCAATTATCCAGTCTCACCTACTTGAAATGCTCTCATAGAACCCATGGACTCTAAGGTGTTTGCTGGTAGAGTTTCTTAATCCTGTAAGACCTGAGCTCTCATACACTGCTTTGGCTTTGCAGTGTCGTATTTCAGGAGTGGAAAAAGTAGATGGCTGGAATGGAAAAAGCACATAAAAGAGGAGGATTGCTATGCCAATGTAGCCTGGCCGACATGGAAGGGCAGACAAGAGACTGAATTTAACTCAAGCTCCAAAGACAGCTTTTGGGCTGAGGCCTCTCCCAAGAATGTTCTTCAGTTGGGTAGGCTACCAAGTGGTGTAGGACCCAAGTAACTCTTGGTGCCCTGTTCCCTCCACACTCAGGTACTTGAAGTTGCTGAGGTAGCAGTCATTTACATGGTAGTATGAATCAATGCTGGTTTGCTGACTTTCCAGGGAGGTACTCATGCCTCCTGCCTTCCCTGCTCCCCTCCAATTAAAACACAGACATATTTTCAGCCTAGGGCTGTGCCAGGTCTCACACACATGACAGTGAATGAGATGGGCAAAATCTCTGTCCTGAAGGACCTGGAGTCTAACAGAGGAGTCAAGAAAAAATGCATGTGCAAATTAAGAAAACAATCACACATTCTGAGGAGGCCTATGAGAGGAGTTCACAGTGTGCTGAGACAGAGACTAACAAGGATATAGGGCTGCTTTGGATGAGAAGGAGCCAGTTATCCTTTCTATATGATCTGGATTGTTTTTTCTCTCTGGGAATTTTTTTTTAAGGTCTTTGCTTCTTTTACTTTGATGTTCTGAAATTTCATGGGGATGTATCTCATTTAATAGTGTACATTTTCATTTATTCATTCTATGGGACACTTGTTAAGCCCTTTCAAATTTGGAAATTCATGTCTCCCTTCAGTTCCAGGAAATTTTTTTCATCATTGTTTCCCACTCATCCATTTTCTTTATTGCTTTCAGGAACTCCTATTTGTCAGATGTTTGACCTCCTACAATGATGTTTTGTGTCTTTCATACATTTTATACGATGTTTTCTAGTTCATGGTGCCCTTTTGTTTGTATTTTAATCTTTGCTACACTCTGGAACATTTTCTCTACTATATGTTCCAATCCCTCTACTTAAATGTTAAAAATGTAATATTAGAAAAATTTTAACTTGAGAGCCTTTTCCACTTTCTCATCTTTCTCATGGCATTCTGTTGTGATGGATGAAATAACATCCTGAATTCTCTGAGAATAGAGAATACAGATTTTAAAACCTTCTCTTCTCTTCCCTGAACTATCAGTTTTCTCAGGTGTCAGTTTTTTTCTCCTTGTTTATCTTTTCTCTCTCTTTCATGCTGCAGGCTTTCCTCAAATGTCTGGTGCTTCTCTGAAGTGTAAGGCAATACAGAAACTGGCAGGGAGTGCTACTTACATAAGCTGGGTTTATCGAGAGGAAAGCTTCCCTTTACCCAGATGGAATATGAAGCTGGTTTTATCCCAAGGACTTCTCAAATGCCTGAAGTAGAAGCTGACACCTACACGACCTGCCTCTTCCCAGGTAATCATTCTCTCCCCAGACAGTTTGTTCACTTGCTTGAGGAGAACCTTCTGTATGTGTGTGGTAGGGCTGGGGGGAGTCAATAAACAAGTAACCCCCTTGCATTTTGCATTTTCACCTCCACTCTCCTCTTCCTCATCTTCTGCTCTTTGTCGGCCTTCATGTTGAATATCCCTAGGGTCTGCCCTAGGTCAGGTCCATCTTTTTTTCTTTTTTTTTTGGCCTATTTTTGTTTAATTTATTTCTTTTAAGACCACCTCCTTGCAATTTCCAGAGAGAAAATACAAAACAAGAAACAGACTTGGTTTCAAATACATAAACAGTGTGCTGGAGTTTAAAGCATTACTGATAACACTGTTCCAAAAGAGTGTCAGCTCACTCCAGGGCGCTTCAGTATTCCTGAGGGATAAACGTGATTGCTCTTTCCCTCCCACTGGGATGTTCTCAGATGTTAAGTCACTGCTGCTGCTCTTTGACATATTTTCCATGTAGAAGATATGGAACCTGCAGCAGCAGGGGGTGGTGGTGGTGGGATGAATTGGGAGATTGGGATTGACATGTATACACTGATGTGTTTAAAATGGATGCCTAATAAGAACCTGCTGTATAAAAAAATAAATTAAAAATAAAAGAGGTTAAAATGCCACTTAAATGTATTAAAATGTGTTCAACTGACAAAAAAAAAAAATATATATATATATATATGGAGCCTGAAAATCACACTGACAGTTGGAGCAGACCATTCCCAACCCCATTCCAGAACCAAAGGCTAATGGCCACATTCTTCTTTTAAAGAAGGTAAGTGAGAAAACAAGTCCTAAGCCAAAACCAGTACCTATCTTCCCGATGGCATCTGCCAAGCACCGGTCCCACTTCCTGCTGAGCTCTGAATCCGACATGTTCCGCACCCTCAGTTCCAGCTTTCCGGACCGTCGGGCCCTGCGCTCAAACCCCTGGGGCCCTTCTTCTTAACTGTAGACTCTCCACCTGTATTCTCAGCTGTGCCCACCACCACCGTCACACTTGATATCGTCAATCCTTTAACTTTTAGGTGTTCACAGGTAGCGGTATCTCATTGTGGTTGAAACAGAACCAGGTTTGATTTTTAAAAAAAGCAAAGGCAGGTGTTATTCTTACGCTTGGGTATTATAGAGCAATTCATAACGCCTACAAAGGTGAATGATGAATTTCATGGCAGAAATATCTATGGAGCTATGGATGGAAAAGAGACCATCCCTCCTGCTGAGAGGGTTGTCTGGGCAGAGGGCGGGGCTCAAGGACTCCCAAGTGCATCACTGGGTCTCTCCTTTCCCACAACCTCTTCACTGTCCCGGGACCCCGCTGCCCATGTTCAGCAAGGTCACAATGAGCTCTTCCCCAAGGCAGGCGCCAGCTTCCCCAGACACCTGGTGAAGCCACTAGACCAAAACTCTCCAGTGATTAAGTCCTGGCTTCTTGCTATTTATTATGCTGGATAGGAAACCTATGCAAATGCTTTATTTTGGAAAAATGCCTGGGCTGACTAAAACAGCCCCAGACCTCCCCCGAGCTGCAGGAGCCCTGGTGGGATGGAAAGCTCCAGCCTGCCAATCATTTACTCAGCAGGGATGGGAGGGTGGCGAGCTATTGAATAGAAAGTCCCTCAGGAGAAAAGAATTAAGGAGTATGTTGTGCTGAGCTTTCCTGGGGCAAAGCTGGCACAGCAAGAGGTGCCATCAGCATCCCAGGTGATCCCCCCCCAGGGGCTGGGTCCTCCCTGATTGACAGGGTGACCTCCACTGGCCTTTCTCAGGCAGGAAATGGGCTGTTTGCTAATGCCTTTCCCCCGCCGCACACACCTGTGAAAGCCAGTTGGTGGTACTTTAAAATAATTTACTAGAATGAAATTCCTGTGTTTTTCTTTGGGTACTTGCCCAGAAAATGGCTTTGTGCTTTTTTTTTCAAGAAAAGACTCCAAATATAACAGAGCACCTCATATTTCTCTCTCTCTCTCTCTCTCTCTCTCTCTCTCTCTCACAGACTCAGACACACACACACACACTCCTGTGTCTCTTGGGTGGGAGTGAGGGTACTATAGCAGAAGCGAGGTGGCTTTTCCTTTTAATCCTCGAAGTCTTAGTTAAACCTGTTTCCCTCACTTGTCCCCCACTCCAGCCCCTGCCACCGGGACATCCTCATCTTGCTGCCCCCGCTCCCCACTCTGACTGTTCAGCTTCAGAGCATTGCCAGCTCGAATCTCATTTGTCTGAAATGGACGTTTCCTGAATAAGAAACGTGTGATGGGTTTGCCTTTGCTGTCGGCCTACTTTGGTTTAGCAAGCTGCCTCTCCATCCCTCCTGTGAGAGGACCAAGTAAACCGCAGCCAGTGGTCCCTGGCCTGAAACCCACGACTTGGGTATCAGGTGCCTGGTGCTTCTCCGGCCACCGGGAGGAGCTCCCTGTTCGGTTTATCACTGATGGGAACAGTGCCTTTGGGGTGTTAAAAGGAAAGCCACAGGCCCCAGATAGCATCACTTGTGCTAAAAGCCCATGATACCAAAGCTGGTCAGCACCATCACGTGGGTCCTCTTCATTCCCCTCCAACCCTCCCCAGAGGAAGAAGAGGCAATCTATGTGATCAAACCCTTGTCATCCAATGCTCTGTGGTGACCTAAATGGGAAGGAAATCCAAAAAAAGAGGGGATATATGTATCCATATAGCTGATTCACTTTGCTGTACGGTAGAAACTAACACAACATTGTAAAGCAACTATACTCCAATGAAAATAAAAATAAAAAACCCACAAACCTTGTCATCGCCCCCCCCTCTAAAGATGTACTGACTTAAAAAGAATCCTTTCTTTTCTCTTGCTAATAGCTCCCTCACTCCATCCTTCTTCCTATAAAAGCCTTCCATTATGTACAATCCCTCTGAGCGTGCTTCTAGTTGCTAGCTGGGATGCTGCCTAACTCATGAATCGCCTAATAAAACCGATTAGATCTTTCAAATTTACTCGGTTGGATTTTGGTTTTTGACAGGAGAGGTACAATTCATCCCCTCAGGGCACTGAGATGGCGCTTCCTGCACAAATGACAGAAGTTCCAGGTTTATCACTGTGTTCACTGGACACATAGAGGAAGGGGTGTTCTGAGAATTAATGGAAGACCCAGGCTTCTGCTGTCTTCAGGAATGGGGCTCAGTTTCACCCTGCTGTCCTGCAGTCCCCATCCCAGATGTACACACTTAACACCCTCTGGGTCCCCGGGGAGCAATTAGAGATTATTTTAATGAACTATCACTCATGCGCAGAAGGAAAATTGAACTTCCGGTCGCATGAATGTCTTCTCATCCTCAGGGGGCTTTAAGTGTCTTCAAGTCACCTGAGCAAGTTGCTTTACTTTTTTTCTTTTTTTTTTTTTTGGTATTTCAACCCTTGTAACTTTGAAAATTACAGATATTTTCACATCAAATTACAGTTGTTGCAAATTTCTTAAAATATCCTTTATGCTTATTATTGCTTTGAAATTGCAGTATTTAGTAGACTTCCCCTGCTGGATAATGTCATTTTGTGCATTAGTAAAGGAGCACAAATATTACTATACCATCGTTTTGAAATATTTCGATAACACATTTCAGTATAATGGTTTCCTCTTGAAATCGTACACATTTACCTTTTTCCCTTTATATGAAAAGTATTAATCTGAGGTGAGTCCATAATCACCACACCTCTCTAGGGGTGCATAGTATAAACCTCGGCGAGAAGACCCCGTTCTATTATCCAAGGAGAAATCTGTAACTAGGGTTGTCTTAATGTTTACACAGAAAGAGCAGGAACATGCATGTTTTTCTGTAAGCGTTATTGCGACCTTACAGACTGGAAATGAGAATTTTCTAATGTGTGTTAAGTTTCCCTGCCCAGCAGTCTACTCCTTCCACGGAGCAGTCCTCAGCCAGTGCCTTTCTTTCCGAAGCCCCATTTCCTCATCTGTTCAATGCAGCTGCTCATACTGCCTAAGTTACTGTGAAGATACAAAGAGGTGACTGAACACCGCTCCCTTCTCCTCGGCTTCCAGAACCTCCCAGTTTGGTCCTCCTTGCTCACGGGGTGTTCCTCTTCTGGTTGCCTTGCTGGACGCCCCCATCCTCCCAGCCTCGAATGTGAAACCCTCAGCAGCCCTTGGCTTATCTGTGTTCACACCCCCTGAGACCCTTTCTAGCTGCATGGCTAACTGTGTCCTGGGCTGAGGCTCCCACATTAATCTGTCCCTCAACTCCAGCTTCACACATCTAAGCGCCCCGATCGCCATCTCCACTTGAGGCGGCTCAGACCAAACACATGGAAAACAAACAAAATCTACCTTACCAGAACACTTTCTTTCCAGAATCTCCTTCTTTCAGAAGACGGCAAACCCATTCTTCCAGTTGATCCAGTCCCAAATCTTGGCATCAACATTTAAGCCTCTTTCTTTTCACACCCCACAACCAAGCCATCGGTAAATTTGATCAACTCTACCTTCAGGCACGTCCCAACCTCTTCCCACCTCCACGGCTGCCTCTTAGTCCAGATCTCCATCTCATGCCCGACTGTCACCATCCACTCTGTTCCCTCTACCTGGAAGCAAACAAGCACAGAGGGTCCACGGCAGGGAGAAGCAGGGAGGCATGTGGCAACGCTTTGGGGCTTTGGGGCCGGGCATTTAGGGTGCAGATCCTGGCCCCATCTTTGGTTTATAACTATCAAGTAATGGACTATTATACAAATGGTGAATGTGCCGTAGTTTTCAAATTATTTCCACTTAGGGCAACAGTGACTGCTACGGAAGTAGGATTCTCTGGGGGATTTCAGAGCCTTTTGATTTCAAAAGACTTAACCCAGGAAAGCAATCAGGGTGTCTTATCCAAGAAGGGGGACATTCTGGTGCTTTGAGTATAGGAGAGGCGTGGATCCGTTTCAGGAAGTGGCTTCCCAGAGACTGAGCCTGGGACTAAGGGTTCCTCAGGGTAGAAGTGCCCATTCACACACACGGCCTGGGAGGGGCTGGGGCATGACATGGGTGACTGTGAGGGTGGTGGGCTGTGGCCTGGGAGCAGCATCAGGGGCCCCAGGCTGTGAAGGAACCAGCACCTGGCAGTCAGCAGGTAACCAGAGCGACCCCAAGGACTAAAGGCTGGGCCTCACCCCTTCCCCAAGTCCAGGGCCTCCATTCGTGCTGGGGCCCTGAGCCCTCCTAAATGCTGGGGAGGGAACAAGGAAACGTGGCTGGCTTTAGACCTCTGGATCAGAGCCAAATTTGATTTGATTTAGGGAAGCAAAGACATACAGCATTCTTTATCCCGTGAGGATCATATTGTAATTTACATTCATGACAACAGTTTCCTGGAAAACATCAGAATCTGACTCATGTTTCCTTTTTATTTTGAAATTTGGGGTTACATGTTGTACCTCGAAAGGAGACCATACTTTGTTCAAAACAGCCTTGGTTATGACTGCCTAGTCCCAAAGAGATGGGCAGAGGCAGGCATCTACCTGATGGCCCTGGTGATTGTAATGTGATGAAGAAGGGGATCACAGGACCTGAGCTCTTGTCTTAGGGGTGAATGAGAGCAAAAGAGCCAGAGGAAACTGGGAACAGCGTTCTTACACCCTGTATCTTGAAGGAGGGAATGAAGGTCTTATTTGGAATCTACTTCCTACAGTTGGTGGGCCAGCTGTAGGTCAGAGCCATCCGTGTGTCACTTCCTGTGTGTCACTTCCTGCTTTCTATGGGGATTCAAACTTGGACCTATGGGTCTGATATCACATTTCCTCTAATCCAGCCAGAACCCAGTTAACAGAAGCTTTGTGGAGTGATGGTTCTAGAAAGAACTAAATATGGTCATGAAACAATTCACTTAACTATTTGGAAATAGTCTGGACA